GGGCCTTGGAGCACAACAGAAAATTCCCCTTTTGTATTTATGAACTCTGAGGTTTGGTGTAAGGGCATCAATAAGATGAATCTCCCTTGCTGGTCATGAAAAGCACATAAATGCCCCAGTGTAAATGGGGAACCCCATGCATACAGTCATCTCTGATATCCTAAGGCAAGGGTAAGTCTTATGACCAGGAATACTGGTTTTCTCTGATTTAAAAAAAAAAATCCCCAATTTTTGGAAGGGTAAACCAAAATCCACTTTTTTCTGTGGATAAAATGAAACACCAGATCTAGATCTAGATGTGAGTGTGTGATTAAAATGAAACACCATTGTTGTAATGTAATAAAAGCCTTAGTCTGTCTGTCCATTACACTTTATTTGCACTCTGATTGGTTGTCTTGGCAGTCAATCATAATGCTCACTGAAGCAACCAATCAGAGTGCTCTGCACAGACAGATGCACATGGTGGAGTGCTGCCATGAGAAAGGGGATTGAGAGGCTGGAGTGCAGAGGCGAGGCCAGCAGCCCTGTTCCTTGGAGGCATAGGGGATTGATGGGGATGGACTGGGACGGTGGAGCGCTGTTATGACAGCAGGGATGGAGGGGACAGAGCAGACAAACCCAGCAGTGCTGGCCTTGTCCCCCCCACCCTGCTCCCAGAAGGCAGCAGCGTGGCGTGCTGGCAACACAGTGCTGACGTCCCCCCTCCCTGGTGCACAGGGCCAGACGTGGGGGGTGGGGGGAGGCATACAGGGCCAGGGGCAGTGCGGCGGCACTCTAGAGAACTGGGTGGTGGCACTCCATCCCAGTCCACCCCCTGTCAGTCACGATGGGCGACAGTGGGGATGGACTGGGATGGTGGAGCACTGCCAGTAACTCCCTTCCCCTGGCCCTGCTTCTTGGAGGTTGCAGCGCTGGGTGCTTGTGGTGCGGTGATGGCCTCACCCTCTGCTCTGGATTTGCCGCTGCCGCAGGGCCCCAATAGAAGCCGGCAGAGAGAGGGAGGCAGTGGGGAGGAAGGAAGCAGGAAGTGGGGGGGGGGCATATTGGCAGTGGCCTGCTGCCACTGGGCCCTAAGAACAGCTGGGAGGGAGGGGGTTGTGCACGGCCAGATGTGCGGCAGTGATAGTGTGGGGCACTGGGTGGTGGCTACAGCTACAGCTGCTGTGTGCAAGCTTCCCCCCCTCCCCCAAACCTGGGAGGCAGCGGTGACACAGGGTGGATCGGTGGGGGGTGAGGGTGGGTGCATGGGGCTGGTGGCAGACTGGTGACAGCATGGGGTGGTGTGTGGCTGTGCTCCATCACCATTGCCCCCCCCCCATCATTCTTGATGGACAATTGGCTAGTCTATATATTTTTTCTGTGATCAAAATGAAACACCATTTTATTTATACATATATATATATATATTCTGATAAAAAATCCCCAATTTTTGGATTTAAAAAAGCAACCCCAAATCCACATTTTTCTGTAATTTAAAATGAAACGAGAGAGAGTGGTGTTTCATTTTAATCACAGAAAAATGTGGATTTGGAGTTGCTTTTTTAAATCCAAAAATTGGGGATTTTTTTTTTTTTATCAGAGAAAACTAGGGTCCCTGCTTATGACACGAGACTGCCTTTTTAATAGCAGTGTGTGCCTTCAGCACAACAGCTTCAGAGTCATAGTGCCCTAGCCAAATTGGCTATGAATGGGCAGGTAATAATTAGGGGTTTGCGGCTTCCAGGAAAAGGAAGCTCTTGTATGGGCATGCTCACTCTGCCATTCTGTGATAAGCTGTCTAGAAAAGTGCCTTTATCATCCGGGAATTCTGCAGCCACTGCTGAATCACCCCACTTCTGCAGCACAAACCTTTTGCAATTGTAGATGCCTGTTTTGCAAGCCTGGAAATGGTGCTGCCCAGAGTTAAGCTGTTCCAAGATAAGTTTCCTCTTGAACAGCTGGCCAGTCTTGTCCTTGTCTCCATGCCCATCTTTGTCAGCATTCATTTTTTTTCTTGGTGTAGCTGCTGGCAGTGAAAACTGTTTGGTAATGCAGTGGTAGGATTACAAAGCTGCAGCCCTTTGGTGATGTCAGGTCAACAACTAGCGTTACAGCATGGGTTGTTTTGGCCTCCAAAACAGTTTGATGAAGGATATTTATACCCGAAAGCTTGCAAAGAAGAATTTTTCCAACTATTTGATTTGATCTAATAAAAGATATCAGATTTACCTAAAGAACCTTGTCTGCCTATGGTCTTAGACCAACACGGCTACAACCTATATACTTGTAAAATAGTTTGTTAGGAGTTTAAAAATAGCTTCAGCTGACCCAAAGGAAGTGGATTGTGGTACAGTGAGAGAAGGAACATAGGACTTTTAGATGGTGACTCTTGGATGTGGAACATACTATCTCCCAGCTAACTTCCTCTAGACATGACCCCATGTCCTATGGGAACAATCCCAGAATGCACAGGGTCTGGCTGCTGAACAAAGGAGCATGGGATAGCCAGCCACAATGCTGACCACATATTAAGGAGGAAATTCCTCCTGGATGGAAGCAGTGACTCATAGTGAACCAAAACCCAACTTGGTTTGGACACAGCTGGTGAGTGCCAGTTAGTCTGAAGCAGTTACAGCAAAGCATCACACTTCAAAATAAATTCCCACATGTCGGCAAGCCCTTAGTCATTTCTGTAACCTTTGTCATCCTCACCTCCCTGAGGAATCTCCCATGTGACTTCTGCTATTCTACCAAGGCAACTCATAAATTATTATTCTTTTAAATAGCACTTAGGCTGTTGGAGCTGCTGCTAGCCTTGAAGATTTGCAGTCTACCCTGTAATTTTGAGAGGAAAAAAATTGGTTAAGTGACAGAAGAAATATTGTACTTCTGGATAAAACTACTTTTGTGTTTCGTTTTCTGGTCGAGTCATTCATATCCCTGTCACTAACCTCATTAGGTCAAGGGCTTGAGGCAGAGAGCAGGCATAACATTTTTGGTCATACTGATGCATCTGAGTATTGCAGATGCCTGTAATTTTAAAGCTGAAACGAGTATTGTATTTAATCTGAAGGCAAATAATATAAAGGCGTAATGGTTTATTGAAGTTTGCATTCCTTTTGGAATTTGTAATTAACTGGCAACTTTCAGCAACTCAAGCAGAGATGGCTTGGCTTGTTATTCTGGACATATTAATGAACCTGCTAATGCAAAGCCAGTTTCTTATAGTGAGGTCCTTGTGGTTGCAGAGCAGATCCCAGGTTTTCAAAACTTCCCAGGAAGTTCTCTGAGGTGAATATTTGGAAAAATAAAGAAAAAGATTAATCAGGTACACATTAGGTATGAATTGTAGAATGAAGCATCTGCAGTACTCAGTGGACGGCTGGATAACATACTAGTGGTGCTATTTTGCCAGCTTACATCTGGAGTGGTTCATCAGAACAGAACAGATGCTAGTGTGAAATAGGTCAACATAGCAGCAGGGCATTAGAACAGAGAAATTTCTTTTTTCTTGCAGGAGCAGCTATTCTTTTTTATTCTCACCAATTATGAAAATGTTAGCCACGTCTGAAATATGAATGTATGTATTGTGACAAGCCAATGCTTTTAAAGGGCATTGAGGTAACAGCTTTCCTAGCTAGGCTGAAGCTCCATAAAGCCGTCCTTTTACAGTATAGATAAGTATCCTTTACATTTGTACTGGCTATTTTTGTGCTTTAGTGGTATAGATGTTACAGAGTGCCTTCTTGGTGGCAAATGCCCAGAAGCGGAGATGCTAATTCACAGGAGTTTCATCAGTCATTTCAAAGGAGAGGTCACATAGATAAGAAAAATGAACAGTACGCAGTATGTGAAGCAGTGACATTCAATGAGTCCTTGTCACTAGCAGCCATTAGTATGCAAGCCTGCTGTTATGTTTCAGTGCTTTATGTGCTTTTCTTGACCAGGCAGGGAGATTTTGGAGCACTGTAGCACTTAATACCGTACAAGTTATTGTTTCTTTCTTGAATGCTTTATATTTTTAGTACCATTTAGATGCTTCTGTGTCCCCTAGTGCATCTAAAAAATTTAAAGAGAATCAAAGAATGCATAATTTATATCTGTCCCAGAGGTAATGGAGTGACTCAATGATATCTGCAAAGGGGATGATTTTAAATTTCATTTCTTATGCAAGAGGTGATTTTTATATGAAAACTGCAAGAATTGGCCTCAGGGATACCCAGATAATTATCTTCACAACAGCGGGTGTGAATTCCAGGGGGATTATAGCTGAAAGCTATAGTGTATTGGATTTACCCTTGTGTATCATAGTTGTCATAATGGAAAGCATAGCAACTGATGCATCTTGGGGAATAGAATTTGTATTTTGACTCCGAATAGTATACACAGGAGGTGTAAAGACGCAGGTTTGCCAGAACTGTGTTGAAGAATTCATGCAAGGCTTAGGCATTTGTTTACCACTGAAATTCTTTCCTTTAGTTAAAAGAAGAAAACAATTGTTTACTGATGTAGGGCATGACCCATCAGTACATTCTTTATCACATAGCACAGCTCCACTAGACTCTTTCTGGTTTCATTTAACTAAAAGCCTGGAAGTGCCATGGCTGGAAATAAATGTCTGCTGCTTTGATTTGCTGTATGTTTGAAAATGCACTTTAAGGTTTGTATTATAGATGTTTCAAACGGAATTTAAATTGGTGCAGCATTCTTATTCTTTCATTTCAACTCCAGTTTCATGTATCCATTGCAATTTTATCAAAACTGTTTTCAGTAACATTTCTTTTAAAATGGTTTATTGTTATTTCATATTCTTTTTTCCTTGCTGAATCATAGTGAACTTGGACTTTGTTATATTTAAATACTTGTAATGATCTTGCTGCATCCATGGTTTAAGACGTTGAGCAACTTCTAAACTAATGCTAAGGTTGCTTTTTAGCATTGTCCCCAAATGGAGAGACATTTTTTTCCCTTCTTGAAATCTTGGAAATCACTGTTTTTAATTTTTGTTTTCTCTTCTTTAGGATTCGTCATGAGAATGTGTAACCTTCCTTCAGAAGTACATTAATGGGGCTGCTGATAAGCAATCTTCTTTTGTAAAGGTTTGTAAATTGAATTGCATCCTGTTTATTTCAGCATATATATTACTGTACTAACTTGTACATTACCTGCTTATTACTTTCAGATCTTTAATACATACAAGCTGAATAAAATTATAGTGCTATTCAGAAAGGCTAGGTGTTGTGGGACAGAATTGTTTTTGTCTTGCAAAATATTTAGGATGTGACAGTACCCTGTTACACTAGTGTAAATCTGAAGCTGCTCCATTCATTTGCCCTTTAAACTGTAACTCCAGATTTACACATTGCAGCAGAGACCATAATTGGCCCTACAGGTAATTTTCACCTCATCAGTGTGTCTTTGAGTATGTGGTAAAAATGCATTATTTTTTAAGATATCACAATTAGTTGCTCTCTTCTCCCATCCATGTGGCTAATGTGTGAGTAATTGTTCCGCAGTTAAAAATGCAGATGCTGTTAGAAGTGAGGTTAGCAAGGTGTCATGGTGAGCTCTGGTTTATGAAATCTTTTTTTGTTGATCCTTTAAGAGACTGTCAAAAGAGAAGCTTCTTGGTGGTGAATTATGATAGCAATGGTGGTTTGACTCCTGCGATGATAGGTGTGCTAAGGGATGTGGAAGACTGTACTGCTTAACAGTATATTTGTGTCAGATGCAATTCTAGTGTTATAAATTACTCTAGCCTAAGATCAAAATTATTTAAGGGAAAGAAAACACCAGACTCATCCCAATGCATTTTTATATGCAAGTATGTAATGAGAAAACACATTTCCAAGTTGTTTTCTAAGGTAGTGTAAAATACCATTTTTGGTGAAAATGTTTCTGTTTGGCTGAAGAATTAATTGGGAATTTAGCTATTTAGTTTAGGGCTGCCCAGTTGGTGGGGTTAAGTTGCAACGCTGGACTCTCACCTGGCTGCCACACCCCCTCATCGCTCGGGCTGCAGCAGCAGCTAGTCTTTAAGGGTATTTTTACATGTGTTCCTGATGTGGCGCTGGGTGCTTTTAATTAACGAGCTACACTAATTAAAATACCCACACGTCACGTATATTAGCGGCGCAGGGTGTCCCTGCACTAAGAAAATAGTGGTGGGGCACTTTCAACTGAAGTGTGTGTTTTATTTCAGAGTTCGCCACTGCCATTTTTTTAGCATGAAGATGCGCTGTGCCGCTGATGCACTTGACACGCGAGGCCGCCAGAACATCTCAAGTTATGTGCTTCAGCAGACTTGATTAATCAAGTCTGCTCCAATGCACTGGATTTCCAGTGCATCGGGGTAGGCTCGTCACGTGTGTAATCCTGCTGCCATTTTCTGCCCTCACCCCAAAGGGCAAGGCAGCATGGTGCCATGTGGGGAGCTGAGGGTGAGTTTGGGTCACACATAAAGGAAGGGAGGGGAATTGCACATGTGTAGGGAAGTGATGGTGGGGGATGCCCGTATGGGTGCAGTCTGCAACGGGGTGAGGGAATTGCACCGCACAGTGCAACAGTGGGGTAAAGGATGTCTGCAGTGCACCATTGGGGAGGGGCACTCAGTACAGTGGTGTGAAGGTGCAGAGCAATGGTGCGGGAGCATCTATGTGGCATAGTTGCTTGTAGGTCAGCTGGTGTGGCCTGTGTGGCATGTGATAGCCCCACTGGTATGGTCCTCAGGGGCTTAGACATTGGACCATCCATCTCAATCACCTGAGCATGATGGACTTTAATGAGCATGATTTTCAAGTGAAAGTTTACAATCAAAATGTGTTATATTTATTCAGTTTATTATGCATTACCAAATACACTGTTGGTACAAGTCATTTTCAGTGTTTCCTCTGTATAGTCAGGTTTGCCATTTCTTTGTACGAATTTCATAGGGAAACAGGCTTATAAACTACAAATGTTAGATGGGAGACTTAGTTGGAAAGTAGTTCCTGAAACTACTTTTTTTGTTCTTTTTGGGGAAATTAACTAGGTTTCAGGCTGATAGAAAATGAGACTCAAGACCTAAAACACTTGAGAGGCAGCTCAGATCTGGATCTGAATATCAAATGTGACTCTTACATGTATAACAGCATGAAAAAACCCCCCAAACAAAATGCACTTGAGATTCCTTAGACCCAGATTTGAATGTTGTGCCCTAGACCCATATGTCATGCAAGGTTGCATGTTTTGAGCTTGTGATTACTCAGAGTTATGGGAAATTGCCTAATGACCAGTGACTCGTGTCATTCTCAGGCTCTACAAAGTCTCTGCTGCTTTTTTGCAAGCTGTGACCCTGATATCCCCTTGGGCAAATCTTATGTTTGTAATTTTTGAGGGAAGAGGGCAAAAAAGTAGGGATGTTGAAAACAACTGGAGATAAAAGAAGGAAACTTACTTAGTATTGGCATTTCTTTTAATGGCGATTTTGTAAAATCTCACATTCCAGACTTGCCTATGAGTGGTATTTAGGTCATAATTCACTAAAGTCTTCCAAGAGTAATTGCTAAATCTACTTAAGCAAAATGTGATTAGGATTGTGTATCTAACACATTTGATGCAAAACTAAGGCAATGACTTATGAAAATGGAGCAAACTATCCCTTTTTCTGTCTAAAACCACATTCTAAGAAAGCTGCTTGTTCAGAAGTCTGGTTACTAAAAAGTAATGATTTTATAATTTTTATGTAACAATCATAATATACACACATGTATATACATACATTTATACACACATATCGTAAATAATATATAAATAAATGGGCATTTCATTTAGAGACAAAAAATAAGAAATTACATTATTTTAATATGTGTATAAGTGGTATGATGTGATTTGGACACTCCTATTTACTCCATTATTGTAATACAAGAACAAGGGGAAAACAATTACATTAAGAGGCAAGACATTTGAACATTATAGAAGTACATCTTTACACAGTGTATAATTTATCTGTGGAATGTGTGACCCCATGGTATAACTGAGATAAGGTGTGTAGTACAGTCTTTAAAAGGAATAGACGCTTTTATCACCGGTATGAGTTCTATCCACAGTTACACTATCTACGTTAAACATTTACAAGTGATATCAGCCTACACATTTCAGGACAGAAGTCAACCACTAACTGTCCTAGGTTTAGTAAACAGCTTTTCTGTCATAGACATGTTGTTGTTTAACTGCCCATTACACCATTTTCTGAGGCATCTGGTACTGAGAATGATGGGAGAGAACAGACAGACCAAAGCCAGTTCCTCTGGCTTTTTGTTGTTTTAAAGTTTTGTTGCAGACTTTGAACTTTTTCTGAGAATATCTTCCCTCTGTTTCCACAGTCCTAATTTTCCTTCCTCTGTTTGTTTTGAAGTCCTGCATGCGATCTTTCTCATGGTCCTCCTTCTTAAGCCCCTTTTACTCTCTACTTTCATTTTATTCTGTTTTTATTTTTACATTTTACTGTTCATCGAGTGAGCGAGTTTCCTAAGTTTCTGATGAGTGCTGTGTGCAAATAGTACACATCTCTCCAACTGTCTTGCGAATTGGCTTACCTCTGTCTGGTATCTGTATAATAAAAGGTGTATTTTGATTTTTAGGGGGAGTGGGGAAGGTATAGGCATTGAAAATAATTCAAAGTCAAGAAACTCATTACAGGGCTATGATTGGAAATTCTTTTAATTTACCTTTCCTCCCGTTTATCTGACTTGCATTTGTTTCTGCTTCACTTCTGCTTGTGCTGTGCATCTCCCACTCTCTCTCATTGCCTTCCCCTGGTGTTTCATTCTGTATGTGCTAGCAGTTAACCAAGATTGATTATAATCCTGCTCTAAAATAGAAGCTAGAGTTTGTCCAATATATTTCAGTTGTTTGTGAACTCAAGGGTGGAGTTACTGTGCAGCAAACCTTCCTTCATTGTGGAAGAGCAACAATACTGCCTTCTCAAAAGTTGGAAGAAAGAATCTAGGGAGAACAGGTTTCTTCCAAGAAATATAAATTCAGGGCAGTTGACTACCTTGGATCTGTCAGAACCACAGATTTGTCTGAAGCACTCTTCTGCTGTTGCAACTGTATACAAGTATACATATGCATGCTTATTGTGTACAAGGCTACTTTAAACGCGAGACATTCAGAGCAGCCAATCTCTTCCCTCACTGGAAACTTCAGGGATTTTTCAGGATGGCTGCTCACAGCTCAGCTCTCCTACCAGAGGCTTCAGGAATGATGGAATGGCTTCTCATGCAAGATCTGAATAAGTCTGTAAATAAAAAATAGGGGAAAGCAAGGCACTAAACAGAATCATCATGGAGGGAAATGTGAGCATATTATCTACCTTTGCCTTACATTGAAATTACCCATCTACTAAAGAAGAGGAAAAGTTTTATATGCAACTTCCCATAGAGTGTGTGCATTTGAGGTATAGATTGATAGGTAGATAGACAGATAGATAGATAGATGTATTTACATTATTGAACAGATGGAAACCAAGCAGCATCTTTGCTGAACAAAATCTGTAAACCAGATGCTCAAAGGAAATGTGGCACAGAAGAAAGTGAAAACCAAAAATCCCCTCAGAAAACCAGGTTCTCCGATTTTTTTTTTTTTTTTTTTTTTCTTTCTTTGAAAAGGACAGTTGCATTTCAGTAGTATGGGCAGTAAAAATAGACTTTGTCACATCATAAAACTGGACCTTTCCAGAGTGCTAACTCATTGCATGATCTAACTCTTAAAAATTAAACAGGAAATATTTGAATTAAAGAAAGCCAGCCTTTAAGGCATCTTGTAACAGAGTTGCTTTCTCCTTTAAGGGTTAGGGGTTCTGGGGTCAGCTGCTCCAGTTTAGTCATCACACAAAGCTAAAAGAAAACAAGTGAGTATGGGATGAAGGGGGGTGGATGAAGCAAATTACTTCCTGAAGGTGGGAATTTGGGAGCGGGTAAAGGGATGATGTTTCCACAGTGCAGCACTGTGCATAAATGCTCATGCTATCTCTGGATATACTGGTACAATGCAGTACTATGCAGAGATACTAGCTCAGGTCCCAGAAGTAGTATAACTGCATCAGCATGGCACTCAC